TGGTGCTTAGTTGCTGGCTGGGGCTAAACCACAACATCATCTCATCTCTTAAGCTGGGATTCATCTCACCTAACTTCAGATTTCTCACAGTTAGATGTCTAGGTGTAAGTTATTTGCTGTAGATTTCCCATATGGTGAAATAGATGATTTATGTGATCTGTCTTGGTTTTGATTATGAAGGGAGCCCAGGATGCATAGATTTAGATGTCTTAACTTTCAGATACCTAAATTAGGAACAGAGTAATCCTGTCTTTAATGAAGACATTTCAAGGTCATGAATCACCCCTATGAGAACAGAAGCAGTATAGCTCACGTGCAGTTAATGACAGTCTTAACAGAAAATAAAGATGAGGCCAAAGTGAATGTGGAGACTGAACTCTGTCAAACCTATTGGTGAAGGCGTGCTTGGGTCTTGCTTTTCAAACTCTGCCAGTTGTGGGTATGTCAGAAACTTTACAGGCAATAATTCCGTCCTAACCATTTCACTTTGCCATTAGGGAAAGGATAAGGGAAGCCTTAGAGATGCTCTGTGTTCAATGGCTTGAGGTTCCAAGGGACAAATGAAAGTGACAGTCTGTCAGTCACTTCTTTTTGGTCAAAACCTTCCTGGAAAACCCAGTTGTAGGAGATGGGATGATGATGCCAAGTGAGAGAGCTGTCCTCATGGGAATCCTCAGGTTGGTGGATCTGCTGTATCACCCAGGTGGCAGAAAGCAAAGTAGAATAGGCCTGATGGTCACATCCTTCTTTTGCTAAGAGTTTCCCTGATTAATTTTGGGAAAAAAAGGCAATCACATTTTTTTTAAGAAATTCCATATGAACTCTGCAGACTATGACAACTAGATGTGTGATAATGACCATATTTCCATATTTCATAATTTAGTTATGCATTTAAATTATGTTAGAGCTACTTTTTTTGCCATGATTAGAGAATCTTTGTTTCACTGAGCCCAGTATTAATGTACTCCAGATTCTGTTTCTTTAGAAGAGTAACAGATGTTCACAGTTTGGTGCAATTTTCAGATGAGCAATGCTGTTTATAAGAAATTTTCCTGAGACCACCCAACTCATTTCACTTGTAACTTGAACTATGTCCAAGTGTTGATCTCAGGAGATGTAAAAGAGATTTAATAATTCTGTGCCCCACCCAGTTCAAAAGACATGACTTAGTATAGATGGAATTTAAATATCTATACTTCCAATCAACATAGAAAGTCAGTTTTATTTTGCACGCCGTGAAAAATGGAGGTGGAAATAGCAACATTCTTGCTTTCATTCATGAAATATTCATAGGATCTGAAGATGTATATTGAGAAGGTCTGAATGAAATAGAATTATAAACCAAAGATGAACAGGTGAAAAAGCACAACACAGCAAGTAAAAACAAAGAAAATCGAGATTTATCCTGGAAAATGCAGATTTATTAAACACAGAAAAAACCCAGAAATGCAGTATTAAATACAGCTTGGGATGAGGTGTAGAGGTGCGACACAATCCATCGTGTCTTATTAGAAACAGCTGCAATAAATTTTGTGTGCATTAACCAAAACATGGTGTGATTTTGATACGTCTCTATCCGGGACATTATATTTAGTGTCAAGCATTTAACAGCAAAAATTGTGTTGATAGGGTTTAGGGATGTTAGAAAGGAAGTATTGAGGAACTTTGGGTGATAGGAAGTGAACCTTTAATTCATGTCTCTGCATTTATAAGAAGTCCCAGAGACTCAATCATATCAGTTTTGTCAAGGTATGGAACAAGTCCCAAAGGAAAAAAGAAGCTCTGAATGACTTGAGACCATGAAAATGAAAAAAGCAGTTCGGAATTGACAGTAATTGGTACTGAATGAGGTAGATTTTTTTTCTTTCCTGACACTTATTGTACTTTATACTTAATATTTAGTGCAGTGTTATTTTGAGATTATAAACTGAGAACTCAGAAAAAAGCATTGAGAGGTTCCTATGGCAACCATAGTGTGCACATTATCTATAGGAACATTATGATTACAGTAATGTGACATCGTGGCATTCAGTCGTGCTGTTTGGCAGGTATGTATTTTACAATATGAGTTAATTGATGAATGTAGAGATAGTTATAAATGGCATTAAAATCAGTGATCTGATTTTTTTGTTGTTGTTGTTTTTGCAAGAGAATTGTTGTACTGCACGATGCAAGTAATTTCTTTAAATTTCTTGAAAGCACCTTGGCTGGAGGGTTCTGAGCTGCATTTTTCTATATGGTTTTTAGGCGTAGTGTATACTCAGCCCTGTCCTCTGACAGCAATTGTTCTCCAGTCAGAACATGAGGATTTTCATAATTGTGTGCAGCTGTGTCACAACAGCCAATGTGTGAATACGCAGATTGACGGGATGCTGTGATCCCCCGGCTCTCAGTGGCTTTTGTGTTTGCTTAACTGCTTGCCAGCAATGAAGATGCTATTTCAGCATCTTCCTTTCAGCTGGAGCCAGAAATACCAAATGCAAAGGAAACAGTGCTGCTGTGAAGACTGCTGAAAGAGATGTTTTATAGTTAAAAATAAATAAATTCATTAATCGTTGCACCTCACATCTTTTTTTCCCTCTCTTTTTCAACTAGCAACTAAGGGCAAACTGCCTCTTCAGTGATTCTTGTGTGTTGGTTGTTAATGAAATTCCAGACTTTCTCATTTGGAAATGAAAAAATATTTTGTCACTGCCTTGGTTACACATGCCATGGTAGATATTAGAAACTATCAGCTTTTTATAGTCTTATAATAATCTTGACCTGAATATGTCCCTGACTTTTGAAGAGTGACCTGTCTTGCTCTACAAAAAAAGGCTTATGCTTTTAAGCCTGAACTTAAAATCCTCTCTATCTCCACTTTTTATTTAGTTTTAAGATACTCTTCTGAGGAAATCAGTTGCTTGCTTTGGGTTTTTTTTTTCTTGTTTTTCTTTACAAAAATAAGAGAAATGTTGAAACGTATATTAGAAAACATATGGGATGTAACCTTCATTCATGCTCTAGCTCTGTTTCCCAGGAAACGAATAAGAGCAGCATGAAAAGGATCTAAAGCTCCTAGATCCGGTGCAGAAAAAAGTGAAGGCAGGTCTAAAAACCGTCTTTTAAGGCAATGACTGCTAAGGACCTCTTACAAAGCTGTGGTGTGAGAATTTTTGGGGGAGTGGAGTCTGAGCAAAAGGGGAGCCTTTTGGTGGGTCTGCAGTATGCAAACCTGGAGAAATTATCATCCGGGCAATTCTGCAACCTTTACTTACAGTTCCTCAGCAAGGCTGTATTAATTCAGACAATCCATTCCCATGGGGACCACAAATCGTTCCCGGGATTGTCAGATTGCTTGTGATCAAGTGGCTGCAAAGGTGCCTTGGAGGTCTCTGGATTTTTGCCACCTGGGCTGTGAGCGTGGGCAGATGCAGTCTCCATCTGCACAGGCGTGCAGCTGTAACCGTGCCACATGGCAGGCACGTGTGTGCTACCTCTGCTGGTGCTGCTTTTTGAGGGGAAGAGGAGCTATAAACCCCTTAGCCCAGTATATCCTCGCCTACCTTATAAGTCCCGCTGTCCCATTATTTGTTTGTGGAAAAACACTTGACTTCAGAGCACTGGATTTATGAAATAAAAGCAAAGTATTCAAGTATTGCATTTTTGTCAGTTGTTTATAATGATAAAGCTTCCTGATGTTACTAGTAAACTCCAGTGTCATGTTGTGGTACTGCAGCTATTATTAAAATTCGACTAACGCTGTCTTCCTATGGGGGATTAGATTAGCACATGCACCAATCTGGCAAAAAACCCACATTAACTATACTTAGTTTTGCTCTTGCTTTCTCTGGAAAGTTCATATAACCTGGCCATGACTGTGTATTTTTTAATTTGCTACCTTCTTTAAGGCCTCTTTTGTCTTCCCTTAAAAGTAGGGCTTCCGTATGTCTCCCTCATGTGATCTTAACTTTGCATGCTGCTGGTAATGAATTTGAACTAGAACTGGCTGAGAATTTTCCATCAGAATGAGTTTCAACTAGAAATGTCTGTAAAATAAATTTATGAAAAAAGGAAGTTTTACTGATTTTTTTTGAAAAAATACCTTTTCTAATAGGAAAATCAAAGCATACTACTCTGTTGCATTTAGTTCGACCTGATTGACAGTATTTTATTTTACAAAATTGACCTCAAGGATTTTGTCTTTTGAGTTAGTTGAAAAAGCAAAACCAAAACTCTTGAAACTGTATGGCATACTGAAACTATTCTTGATAACAAGTGATAATTTTTGCAAAACTTTTTTCCCCCGAAAAAAATACTAAGTGAATTTCTTCAAAAATAGCTGGGCTCTCTGTGTGAGTGACAGATGTAAGCACATTTTGCCTGTGTTTCTAAAGACTTCCAAAAAAAGAATGTGCTTACAGGTGTTTGGTCAAGTGTTGAGATGCTCCTGTCCTTCCATTGTGAAAGGGACAAATACATTACTCAACACTTATCATACTAAGAAATAGCAAGCGAGGGAACATTATTTATTTTAAAGAGAAAGATGCAACTCTTTCTAGTTCAGTAAAGCCTGGAGCTTGATGCTAGCTTAAATTCAACCAGGAGATGATAGACGCCACAGGAACAAGTGAGAGTGTGGTTTTGTCATACACCAATACTAACGAGCATTAGAAAATATTGGTAACAAAGACTGTGAAAGATCAAAAAAAAGTTAACATGTTTATACTTTTATTTTATACAGTTATATCCAGCTTCAAAGTTTTGTCTTTCTTCTTTCAGAATGATCAGTCAATGCAAGATATGCAGATAATGGGAGGAGATGATCTTTCAAAGCTGACTGGGAAGGTTTGTTAATTTTAAATTTAAGAAAGAAAATACATCCACTAAAACCTCTTGAGAATAGCTGTGTAATTTTGTGCATGGACTGTCAGATACTAATACTGGAATCAAAGAAATTCATTAATCTCTCTTAAATTGCTGTAATGCCATTGCTTTCAGACTGCAGATGCCCGAGAAGGTCAGAATGTAGCCCCTCCATCCTAGTGTAGGGATTTCCCAATAGTTATACATGTACCATCAGTGAGATTGTGGGCAAAATTTGTGCTGGAATGCTTCCGCTGAGCTTGTTTATGTCTTGGAGCTTTGTTTTTTCTGCCTTCGATGGGTGCATGCACGCAAACTGCATGTTGAGTAACCCTGTCGAATTCAGCATATGAGGAATTTAATACAATTTTGGCTACTGCACAAAGTTCAGTTGTGGAACCTTTCACTCAGATAATCAAATAGGATTTTTGTTATTTCAGCATCAGGCTGGCTGTGTGACTGAATTTGCTTTGCACTATGCTTGAACATTGTGGTAATGAAAGAGAGTGGTTTGAGTCAGTGAAAAGGCTATTTTCATCCAACCATGGTAATACAAAGCAGTACTCTGAAGAGGAAGGAAGGCTGATTTCATTAGGCAAACGGTCTATGTGGAAAATGGTCAGAAATGGATTCTTTACTAATGCATTAAGGCAACATAATACTTACCTTGTTATTTGTACTGTACGTGCAGTTACTCTTTTATTAGCTGGCACTAAGTAATACCAGTTTCTTCAAAGCACTCAAATGTAGCACTAGGAAACTCATTTGTTTTGTTATACCATAGCACACAAGAAAGAGAAAAACTTAACTTTAAATATTTCATTAATATTAAATAGGTTTTGATGCAACCAGAACTTAAATGAAAATAATGCTGTTAGAATATTTTAGCGATATGTATGTCTTCAATTTGCACTTCTAAATACTCCTGCTGGGTGTTTGTTTCCAAATTATCACTGAAGCATTAATCATGTTCTCGGGAAATATTAATTCATTTGCTACTTTCTAATATTCAAACACTGGAGCTACCTGTTTTGCTATGATGAATTTGCATCTGTTTCTCTACCTCACAGGCAGAACTGGCAGTGCACCTATTCATCTTACCTAACATTTCTCTTTCCCATATAGTGCAAACACTTTCTAAGCTGCCAGACCCAGCTCCCCTTCCCCATCTTCCAGTCCAAAATTTTCTTGATGAATGGTTTCAGTTATTAATACCTTTCCCAGACATAATCTTTCTAGTATCATTTGAATTCACTGGGACAAAACATTCTTTTCTTTCGCAGGACTTTTGCATGTTTGTGTGTGTCCACATGTGTATGACAGAGAAGGAAAATTTCACCCCAAGTAGTTCTGCTCTTTCCCAAAATGAAGTAAATTGGGTGTTTATACTGAAAATCCTGGTGACCTTTTTCTCATTGGCACGGCCCTCCTGTTCCCAGGTATGGAACAGGACATAAAATTTGGCTGTTGGGAGGCTAGTTGATACTTGGGGAGAAGACTGAACAGCAAAATAGTTTAAGATTGCTATGTAAGGAGCCTGGGATCTTGGGTAGGCATGAAGGGGCTGGTTTGGGAAGGAAGGTGGTTGCTGATCCGGAAGGGAGCCCCGTGCTGGAAGCTGGGTGTGGAGAGGCTGAAGCAGAGCAGGAAGGGAGGGCTGGGAGTGCTAGGGGAGCAAACCTGCTGAAAGGGTGCATTTGGCAGTTGTTTGTATGTGTGGTTGTCTGTGACACAGCTGATGTATGAATAATTAAATAGCATTTTCACTATAACACATGAGAATGGGGCTTCCTTAAGACTTATGTTACTGAAAAGCTGGGATGCAAAGCTTGAGCTCAAATGTTCGTACTTACATGTTTAATGTTGGATATATGAAGGAGTGGCCTATGTCTATGGATGCCAACTCTTCCATCTGTTGTTGACTTAAGCAATTAGTGCAACTATTCAGCACATTTTACTAATCAGCCATTTGCAGACTGATTCAGAGCCTCCTACAGTCAATGTAAATCTTTCCTTGAAATGTTTTTTAGTACCTTAGTTTAGCTGTTGGCTTTTAAAACTGCTGGCTTTAGTAACCATTCTAATTCATTGAGTGAATTAGTGGAAAACTTACTGATAGAATTTAACTTCCCTACTTCTAAGTGAGCTGGGTGCTTCTTCTGTCTGCTTGGAGTACCTATTAAGAAAAGATTGTAGTTATATTGAAAAATTAATATGCCAGGTTAAGTCCCATTAATTTAGTGATCATGAAGGTGTTTTCAAAGGTGCCAGCATGGGTTTGGAATGTAAGTTCCATTAAGTTTCTGTGAAGTTCAAAAGCATCAATAACATAAACAGTTTTGAAACCTGCAGACAAAATATCCTGAGATTTTGATCTTAAGGTGCTCTTCATTAAGTAATAATACCTGGAACCTCAGCTAGTCTATAATCTTAGTGAACAATTAAATCATTTCCATGCATTACTTTTTATTGGGAAAAAGTATTCCTGAGTATATTCATTAACATGCTGTTCTGTAAGAATGTTTTTTTCTGAGAAAGCTTAAACAAAGCAAAAAATTTTAAAATATCATTAAAAAGAGGCTGTTAAGGATAATAGCTCTTCAGAAGGAAGAATATCTCCTCTGTACTTCTCTACAATATGCTTTTGTTTATAAAAATATTATAAGCCTGCGAAAAATGTATAAAGACCCAAACCATGAAAAAGAGAAATATTCTGAGAGAGAGGAGAGTTAGCATACAGACCCAAACTGTTACCTGAAGAAAATCATCCACAATTGGAAATTCTTCTTCTGTGAAGGTCACAGAGGCAAGAATGAAGATTTCCATGGCATGAATCATTAATAGAGGTACTTGAAGAATGACTCCTGATACAGCTTAAGACTCTAATGCTTTGTAACTATTCATTTCTATGCAGAAAAAAAAAGAATTTCAAAATCTCTCCTTTAATAAGTGCTGAACATAAAATTTCTTGGTAGCTGATTTCATAGTTAAGTAGCTGCTTAGTTTTCAGTTACTTTAAAGCTGAAATACTTGTTTGGGTAAAAATTATCATTAATGTTTGTAAAGAGGAATAAATTTTGAAAATGGGGAGATAATTAATAACTGTCCAGAAAACTAGAGGAACTGTTTCAAAGCAAGATGGCTATGAAAATTTATGAGATGAGGTGAAAGAACAAATAATATAACCCTGTTTAGTATTAATACCGTATTCATACTGTATAATACTGTAAAAAACTGTAACATTTTAAAAGTATTTGTGGCATTTAAACAAAGTAAACTGTAAAACATCCAGAAACTTCAGTAGATTCAGCTGTATCAGAGTTGTGAGTTATCACTGCCATTTACCTTTTATACTTGTGTGTGTGTGTGTATTTTGTCCCAAGAGCTTTGGAGCTGGTTATGTAGTCCAAAGTCTCTACTGACAGGAATCATTCTGTATATCACTGCATATGCAATATGTCCTGTAACCTTTCAAAAAAGCTCCTGTACCACTTTGACTTGTCTCCTTGCAAATGAGACAAGTTAGACAAAATCATAACTTAGTTTATACCATTTTGCAATTAAATACTTACTACAGTTGTATAATGTATGTGATGTCAAAATTAGATCCATGTATTTTTGTCATCATCACTATTACTACATAACTTAGAATGTGAGCAAAATTAGTCATTCTTATTTGTTGGTTAATAAGAACTTCTAATGAAAACAAAGTAGTTATGTAGTTAGTATGATACAATTATGGAGCCAGTGAATTGCAGATATTCCATTTGTCTGTAATATGGATCAATGCTATGTTCTTTATGAAGGACTATTCCCCTTGTTCATCTTAAGTACCTCTTGTTAATAGCCAGTGCTTTTGGCATTTTCTGAGAAGTGTAGAAGGTAATAAATAGTGATCAAGAAAAAAAGTGAATGTCTTACATTCTCTCTGTACTTCATTGTGTTAGTTTAAGCCCTCCATCACTACTCTGGTGCTCTCCTAAAACGACTGATCACCTCATATCAAAAAGAGGTTTCACTCAGAGGAAGATATCCACCACACAGCACTCCTCACTTCCTTCTGGCAGGATTTGTGCTATAAAATCTCCAAATTTTCTTTATATGTCTCACCTAAATCAATTTAGCCACTGCCTGCCATTTTTTTGCCCCACTTGTCATATGGGAAGATGTTCCAGGAACATAATGCAATCTCACTTTCTTTTCTTATGCCTCTCATTTCTTCTCTTATTTTACAGAACCATTTTCTCTGCATGTCATAGGTTCTAACAACAGGTCTGAGAGCTGTTTCTCTAGCATTCTCCTAAATATGTTAGCATTTCAGTATTTAATAAACATACATGTGGCAGCTGTGTAACACAAAGCTTTATTCTCTAGATTTAAAATACATATTATCCTCTCCTTCACCATTCCAAGTTTGTTTCTCAGAATTCTGTTGGTTCTATACTTACTATTTTTTTTTTCTCCTTCAGTATTCACTGCCTTGACTAATGTTGTGCTTTCTCTCCCTTTATGCATTCCTTTCTGTAATAATACCCATAAATTTGCAGAAAAAAATAATGTCATTCTCTTTAGAACATTATGTACATGAGAGACTATTTATATGACAGTAAAGGTATACAAAATCCTCTATACACTTCTGCAATAGTCATGTTCCCCACTCATCTCTCCATCTTACTGTATTCCTATCAGACGTATCTTTTCTTTTAGGCTTTTGTATCTTTTACAAATATGCCTTCTTCTGTGGAATTGGATATATAAAAGAACTCACCGTTTACAGCAACTATGTATTCATGCGTACTTTATAAGCAGGTATAACTAACAATATGTTACATGTATCCCCAAATAGTTTAAGAATAGTTCTATCCAAGGAGAGAGGAGGGAACTCAGGACACCAGTGGGGGCTCGAAGATAAAAGTATTTCCATCATTCCCAATTTCCATGTATTTTCTCCACTTGTAAGACCACCATTACCACTATATTAA